CTCCATTGGATTTCTGAGGCTGTAAATCTTTGCCCTATCTTCCTTCTGCAGAGCAGCTGGTGGTTTGAACTGCTGACTTTCCAGTTAGTAGACAAGTGCCTTATCCACTATACCACCAGAGCTCCAGTTAAGGGAAAAGTGCACAGTTTAAAATCAGGGAGTGTGTCAGGATTGTATCCTTTCACCACACTTACTCAATCTATATGCTGAAAAAATAATCTGAGAAACTGGACTATATGAAGAAAACCATGGCGTCAGGATTGGAGGAAGACTCATTAACAACCTGCAATGTGCAGATGACAGAATTTTGCTTGCTGAAAGTGAAGATGACTTCAAGCACTTACTGATGAAGATTAAAGATTACAGTCTGCAGTATGGATTACATCTGAACATAAACATAGTCTATAGGGTGAAAAAAAATCTAAGAGATAGGGCAAGTTTTAGGAGTGCTGGAGGGGAGAGTAACTGAGTAGTCTTACCTTCAAAAAGCTGAGCATAGTGAGGGAATCCTGTCTCTCGGAGCCATTCACATGCATTTATGGCTTCTGCTTCTGAAACAGAAAAGGGAAGAGAAACAGGTGAAGAAATGGAGTTAACAGGGTGGATGTATGTTGCTTCACCTCCCCAATCCCAGCCTCCTATATGTCCTGGCCACAGCCTTCCCTGCCTGTCTTGAATCCCCTTTCCCTGCTCAGCTCTCTGCCCAAGAACAGAACCCAAAATTGCCAGAAAATCCCAGGAATGTCCCAGGTCAAAGAGTACTGCTGAAATAAGAAGCCACAGCTATGTCTTCCACCCCAACCTCTCCACAGAGACCCATTCCCTTCCAAAGTCCTGAGTAGATCATACTAGTTGTGGTAGTTACATTTGTGTGTCAACTTGGCTAGGCCTGGTTGAGTGGCTGGGCAGCTGGTGGTAGTTATTCACCATGATGAGACTGGCAATTAACTCCATGGTGGGATCTACCACATGCAGCTGAGTAGCTGCTTTGGGTATATTGTCTCCTTCCTGTATATAAGGAGAAGCCTTGGGGATAGTCTCTAGCTTATGGCACACTTGGACCCCACATGTAGCCATGTCTGCCATGCTCTGCTGACCTTG